AAAAAAAAAATTTACACATCGTTCCTAAAAATTAGTAAAAATAACAATTTAAAAACAAAAATTAATCTTTAAAATCCTATATACAAATCCTTCTTAATAAAGAGAATAAAAACAATAAATTAGCTGGGAAACGCCTTCTGAAATAAATGAGTTTTAAGAGCCTTCTTGAAAGCATTAACTGAAGATATATTTCTAATAAAAAGGGGAAGATCGTTCCATAATTTAGGGGCAGCCATATAAAAAGATCGACCACCAAGCGTGGAAAGAGACTTGCATGGTGGAATGTTAAGAAGTTTGCCGTTATTTGATCTAAGATAGTACCTATCCCCTGTGTCTTTCGGTGATACAAGTTCGGAAATGTAAGTCGGAGCAAGTTTATGAATGGCCTTAAAAGTTAACAATAAAATTTTAAAAACAATTCGATATGCTACGGGTAACCAGTGTAGGGCTCTGAGCAATGGTGTAATATGACAAAATTTACTTTCGTGAAATACAAGACGTGCAGCAGAGTTCTGGACTCTTCGCAGTTTTTTAATCTGATACGCTGGTAAGCCATATAAGAGGCTATTGCAATAGTCAAGGCGGCTAGAAAAAAAGGAGCGGGAAGCGGAAATTTTGATTATGAGAGGGAGCGGGATTTCCTATTTTTATTGGGTTGGGATGCGGGAATCGTAACGGAAAAGTAGCAGGATACGGGAATCAAGTTTCGTCGTGACCACATTTTGACTCTTTTGTGTACAGCGCCCATGTACTAGGAACTACTAGTCGCCAAGGAAATGATGCCTGTCAATTTTATCCATTATCACCTTTGCGTGTTTTCGTCTTATCCGGTACTTGGTAACTGACGGTGTGCGCGAACGGTCAATGGAAAGGTCTGGAGTGAGGCCAAAAAACGAATTAGACTAGGGAGGGACACGAAAAATACGCGGTTAATTTTATACAGTCTTCGCCTGTACTTCGCACCTTTTAAGACCGATTGTGAGCAAAAAGGACTGGTTTGCAAACTATTGCAGGTCACACGCACCCGTTATTGAGCGGAATTAAGAATGGAAGAAAGTAAAGAGATTTTAAACAGGAATGAGTACACGTAGCAGTACAAAAGAGGAAGACATCGAGGACCAAGCGCAAGAAGGGTGGAAAAGTACACTTTCGTGCAAGGGGGTTGTCTACAGTTGCTTGTGCTGTTCGATTCAATAGGTACCCTGGGTGCCAGAGACTTTTCATGCGCGGTTTCCGGTTTCGGTCGAGTCCTAAAAAGTGACCCGCGCGAAAAGCCTCTGGACCAGAGCGCCATCCCTTTGATAGTGCCGAGCCAATTACAACACCGCTTATACCAAAACATACAGAATCTGGATGTTTTGCTGATTGGTTCCTTGGAGATATCGAATGTTTCAAATGCTCTGATTGGATTACAATCACAATAGGCGTGTGATCGGAACGCGGGTGGTTTGAAGGTGACAAGGATCTAATGCAAACAATCCAAGCACTCATCACGTACGTTTTCACTTTTTGGAAGAGAATTGAAAATTCCAGATGCCTGTACGAACGGAAGATTTCGATAAAGCAAAAGCCGAAGTCATTGGAACATTCGATGGTGTGGAGGAAATATGAGAGGGCATTGTAAATTACTATTTAAAGGAAAGACATATTGGCGGTCTTGCCGGCCGGCTGTGGAAAATCACTGCTGTTCTAGTTAAAGTACCTGTTGCAATGAATTTTTTTCTCCAGCGGGTAGATTATGACTGAGCAATTAAATATTCATTAATTTTGCCGTTTGTTTTATACTGAGAGGTCGTGATACGCTTATCGATTTTCTGCGGTTTATTTCTGTTCGGCATGATTTGCCCTCTGATGCGAGTCGAGAGCATTTTCTTAGACCTCTTTTGAAACGTAAACTTCTTCATTGCGGCGAAATAAACTTTTAGGTTGCTTAATTTTCTTCAATGTACCTCCTGGATCTAAATAACTAAAAGCGATTTTCTTTTGTCGGTGAATGTGAAGGTTTCCTGCAATGTTCGGTCACGCGGGGCCCAGCTGGTTAGTAGTTTTTACAAGATATATTTAAATTCTCCTTAGTGATTTACAGATCCAGATTTCGAAGAATGAATGGCAGCTTTAACTGAAGCTACATAAATTATGGAGAACTGCACTGGAACAAGATTGCTCTTTAAGCAATGATTTTTAAAGTCCAGCTTGTTTTTCTAAAAATAATGTGACTCTTTGGGCTAGAGCGCGTCGTTCCTCCCTTGGTAACAACTTTTAAATTGGCTTAACAGTCTTGCGACCGCCGGTTTGATTGACAGATTAGAGATAAGGTCAAGGTCCATCTAGCACGGTGAATCAGGACGCTCTGCACCAGAGGTTTTTTCTCGCGGCTTCGCCGCTAGTGTCTTCGGCCGAAGGCCGAAGATGGGTCGACCTGCGGCCGACGAAGCTCCTCGACACACGCGAGAAAAAATCTCTGGTACCCAGGGTATTCAATAGGAGGCTTGGGTTTCCATAAAAGAGAACATTTTATCAATCTGTCCAACCAGTGCGCCATACACACTTTCCATGAGCCGTTGTTAGCGTAGACAATAGGCTTCATCGCCTAATGCAACCTAGCAGTAAATCAAT